TATATATATATATATATATATATATATATATATATATATATATATATATATGTGTGTGTGTGTGTGTGGTTCTCTGCCCATCCAAGGTATATATAATACATATTATCATACAAATCACATGCACCACATCGATTTTATCGGGTCGAATGCTCGCACCGTAACAGTAGAAATAACATACTTGAGAAACGTGGCGACAAACATCCAGACACTACGGATTGTCAGGGGTGTATTGACACAGTACACCTTATCCAACACCTCCACCATTGTCTTGGCTAACGTTCCCGCAGCTTCGGAGTAGAAACCGAAGTCCACCTGTGGATAAACATTAAACAACGGCCGGTCAGTTGGGCGGCTTATATACTTGGACCGAACTTACAGGTATCCGACACCTTGGAGCGAACAACCGACCCTACGAGCATACACCATCTCATAATTCATTATCTGGCCAGGAGAATAAAGTATGCAGCAACGCCTTGGAGGTCGAATGTCGGCTAGTGCACAAGACTGATTGGACTTTGTATATACCGATCTGTGGCGATAGTGTATGGCAGTTCTCAGTGATTGGACTTTGTATATACCGATCTGTGGCGATAGTGTATGACAATTCTCAGTGATTGGACTTTGTATATACCGGTCTGTGGCGATAGTGTATGGCAGTTCTCAGTGATTGGACTTTGTATATACCGATCTGTGGCGATAGTGTATGACAGTTCTCAGTGATTGGACTTTGTATATACCGATATGTGGCGATAGTGTATGACAGTTCTCAGGCCAAGCAGAACGTAGTGAGGGGTTCAATGCACAGATGGTTCAGAAAGCTGTAATCGCCCACGAGCAGAGCAACAGGGCTAGCGACACAATGCGATCAGGCAGACGTTAACGAGTACAGGAACATGTTACTTGATTTCTCAGCAGTACACGTGTCGGTATACTGCGTGCGAGATAGACCTGAAATATCGGTCGCCTTTGCACACGCACAATCAACACTGATGCTAACACAATCACCGCAGGTTGGCTACTTTAGGTTGCATAGAGCTAATGGGAAGTTTGCAGCACTATTGACCGTAACGAGCGCACATAATGTCTGCTAATCATACGGCTCTGGCATCAGTAGCACTACAGAAGGATTCATAAGTGTTATCATTGATTTCACGAGCCACTTACGTAGTTGTAATAGTCAGTGATCGGACATTCGACATATGTACTCTATACGAGTGCGGCTTTCAGTACCTGCTTGGAGTATTGAAAGCCGTGGAAGTCCATGATAATAGCCACACGCTGGTATGCTGGGGCAATCCGGTCTATCCGCCTCAGCACATAATCTACGAATTGACAAATTTCAATCGGCTTCATCAACTTCAAATTTAATCTGGAGAAAATAGAAAGCATGTGGAAACCAAGTTTAGCACATGCATTGCAGCTTGAATAAGGAAGACATCGTCACGTCACGAATAGTAACGCACCAGATCTAGCGATGTGTATCCTACAATGCGCCGGTACCAGTCGTAACTCCTAAATGCATGCGTAGACGTTTCTCCCAGAGAAATATACAAACCACTCGAGCATTCAATATATTAAAAGATATACATACGTATGCGTGTACACGTACATATGCACATGATCACATACATACATAAATAAATACATATAGATACATAGATTCATGCTTACACACACACACACATATATATATATATATATATATATACACATAATATATATATATATGGTGATGCGCGTGTGACGGGAAGCACTGTGATAGAAACTGCATGCGCAATCCAGTATTCGTTCAGCACGCGAGTGTAATCAAACATACACACACTGTCTAATCAGAATCAAACGTCAGAAGGTGATCCAAGTGCTAAGTCACATTCCAATAGTTATCAGAGTTAAACACACAATCCAATAGTTATCAGAGATAAATACACATTCCAATAGTTATCAGAGTTAAACACACATTCCAATAGTTATCAGAGTTAAATACACATTCCAATAGTTATCAGAGTTAAACACACATTCCAATACATATCCGGCGCGGAGTGGGGGTATTCGCCGCAAGTAGATTTAAATGTGTATTCATTGTCATAAAACGCTTTGCAAGTGAACTCGAGCGCACCGTTCAAAGCGGATCACCACCAGCGGTGCGTTATCGCGTGTGACGCCGTGTAGGTAGAACATCCCCATTTGAAACATATGTAGCATATCCGTGTTGGTCAGGATGTTCCAGGCGTAGGTGATCTGGTGCAAGTGTGTATAAGTTCAGGGTTTAGGGCTTAATACACGTATGCAAGTTTAGGCATAGCAGCCCTATAATAAGTGTGGAAAGTTTAGGGTTTAGGGTTCAACGAGTGTGTCCAAGTTTAGGCATAGGAATGTGGAGTGGTCACAATGAGAGCACAGAACAGCCTGGCATACCTGAGGGGTGAAACTGCAACAGAACACCACAGGGTGTGTCGCCACTCGCCTACTACTGGTATTCCGAAGGGTTGTCACTGCTATCAATACCCTAGACTGAACAAGCACACATCATCGACTACTCGAGTACGAGAACAGCACATAAATGTCCAGCTACGAAAGCTGGGTTTGAGGGTTTAGGGTTTCACACAAAACCCTAAAACCTTGAGACGCTAACACACCTCTTCAAACTCCCTCCTGGCTTTGATTGCCTCTTTCATGTTGCAGTCTTGAGAGATAATGAAACGCTCTGCCGTGACTGGGTGCAGGTCGGGGAACTCGCGCTGCAGTTCCATGACGAAGCCCTCCATCTCATCCACCGGCTCTTCTAATTCGCCTGAAGATATTTATCGTTTCCATTGGCAAGAAAATGACCGTGTCTACATGGGTTCGTAGCATATGCGTGCGTGCGTGCTTGTGTATCTCGAGGTAACACATACGATCTTTGGATCATGTCGAATCAGCGCGCAGGCGCCGATGCTCACGACCGCACAGCTCATCTAAATGGAGTATTGCAGAACAACTCACAGGTCACAGGTAACGAGCGGCCCATCAGAACACACGCACAGACCACTACGACCACTCAGCACACACAATACGCACAGACACGCACAATACAATATGCCAACAAAACGCAAGGCAACGCAAAGGAACGCAACGCAAAGGAACGCAACGCAAAGGAACGCAACGCAAAGGAACGCAACGCAACGCAAAGGAACGCAACGCAAGGCAACGCAAAGGAACGCAACGCAAAGGAACGGCAGGCGATCCTGCGAAGAAGTAATCAGTTAAGCTCGACAGGACAATGCGCAAGGTCCAGGGATCTCGGACCTTTAAGTGGGACTGGAACACCACTGAACACACCCGCGGGCGTCAAATGAATTCATGCATGACTGACACTGTACGGTATGGGCTCACGAGGGACCACTGTGCCCGTACGAGCGCACATCTGGGTCGCTACAGGCACCGTGTGTATCGTATGTGTCTTGTGTAGGTAGACTAGTACTATGCCATGATATTTTATCACCGATGAAGTGCATCAAGTACAACGCCAATGAAATACGTTTAAACGGGTCGACACCAGAATGCAGTGCCACGTACCTGTATCTGATTCGTCATCGTCTGAGCAGTCGGAGAACCGCAGTGTTCCGTTGATTGTCAGCTCATAGTAGGCTGAGAGGGTGGTGTGTTTATGTTTGGAACTGAGTGGATGTGTAGTGCGCATATAGTACATTCACATACTTTTTCTGCGGAAGATACGGCTTGGTTGAAGTGTTGCCAAGATCTAGAATACATGTAGAACGTTAATGCTGCCGAAAATGCGAACCTCATGGACAAGTAGTGCATAACAAGATACACATACGTACGGTCCAATGCCGGAGAATTGTAATAAGTAGCAGTAAGACTGCCCAATACTCTCTTACAGAAACATGCAAAGACATACGTCCCGCCCCACGCCTACCTCATGAACCCCCCCCCCCCCACTCTAAAAACACATTATTCTTTTTATAATAAACATACATATACATAGACATAGACACATCTTACGTCCCTACCACCATTTTCTACATACTTTCATGATCTTTGACCGTGTCCAGATCAGGCATCACATGCAGGTGCAGAAACAGGCACACGACTGCCGTACCCACCACCACGACTATGTAATCGGCCACTATACTGGGCAACACAATCCCCACCAACAGCAAGGATAGGCCTACACACAGCAGCTCGTATGTGTGGATGTACACACACACCGCATGCAGGTACTTCTTCAGGCGTGCGTTGGGTGTGAGTTGGCGTGCATTGCTTTCCTCGAGTATGGGGTTCACCACTGGAGACAGGTCGTCGGGTTTTAGGATCTCGACTAGTTCATAGCTGTTGTGTTAGGGGTTTCGGGTGATGAAGTTTCAGGGTTCAAAATTTAAAAGTTTACAGACGTGCGTTAGCGGTCTAGGAGATTCACTTGACTGACAATAGCCATACACTATACAACTGTCCATAGATATAAACACTAACTGTTTCTGTACATTCACAAACTAACTGAAGCCATAAAACTATTGTCCATAGGCATCCGTATACTAATAGCCCACAGACACACAGTACACACCCGTCGACAAGGACATAAACATAGGCATACACATATGAGCCGACCTACTTTGGTATGTGCGAGGGTTTGTCATCCGGAATGCCACCGATTCTGATGTAGTGCTTAATACTAGTCAGCGATCTATTCAGGTTGATACTGGCGTAGTTGCCCGAGGTCAGGAAGATGCGTACCTCTTCCATTGCACTCTGCGGTCGACAGAAGACGACTGTGTGTATGTGCAGAGTGCGTTGAACACAACCGCTGTGAGTGCTTGAATGTGGGTGTTGTGAAGGGTTAGTGCCGAATGTTTTGACAAGCCTTTAATGTTCATGTGTGTGATCTCGTATGGCTCATACTCGTCTATCGGCCCACCTAAAGTATATATATACATATAACCCTAAAACCTTAAAACATCCGTAGTCGTAATCTCATACACATCCACAGTCACGAGCTCAACCAGCAACCTCATACACATATGTAGTCATAAACTAAAGCAGAAAAAGTTACACACATCCGTAGGCGTAACCTCAAGTCGTAAACACGTACACAGCCATCTTAGTAACCTCTGGGAACTCACTTTTAGCACCCACTTCTGGTCGTATACCCAGCAACACAGACCCACAGTTCTCGCCCGGGGCCGCCTGCGAACGCGCTAGCGCCACCATAAGTACAGCCACACCATCTTTAAATGTGCCCTCTTGCGCGTCACCCTCAGACATTTCATTGGAGCTCGCGCTCACCGAGCTATATGTGCAGGCATGTACGTGTATGTATAGTTGTAGTAGAATGATTGTGAAGTAATGGTGCATAGGTGACCTAGGTGTGTCGATATGTAGGTATATACGCGTATATATATATATATATATATATATACACTATACTCTATATGCTATATACTACACACTTACACAGACATAGACAGACACAGACCCAAACCCAAACCCAAACACCGACATACATATATATGTATACAAACACACACATATATGTATACCATACACACGCACACACACACACACACACACACATATATATATA